TAAATATCATGGTCTCTCTTCTTTAAGGAAAAAAAAAAAGAGGCAAAAAGCTCAGGGTGAAACAGCACTGCTGTTGACTATGCCTGAGGGAACGTCATTCATCAACAACGACAACATAATTCCCATCTCCCGCTTAGCAGCCTGGGTGTCACTGAGGCTTACAAACTCTGGAGGATGCTATTCATTTGTCTTTAAAGCACACGCTAGTGTAGAACTTGTTTTGCCCAGTTTTACTAGATATGAATGCATTCCTTGATTTGAGAGCACGAGCTATAGCTTTTGCTTGGTCCCCATGTCCCCCCCTCCAGTGTTCTCATTTGTTCATAAAGCCTAGTTCTTAATCTGAAAATATTCCCCCTTTCTGAAATTAGCAGTTCCATTACGGTAGCAACTGAGTACCTGCTCCTCTCCATAGCTGCACAGCCAATAGGCGGCCCATAACAACCGGGGCATCCTGGAGAGGACTCAGGAGGTACTTGTTCACTGTTGCCCTGACATGGAATTTATCGGGTACCCATCAAATATTCGCATTATTCGCCATCCAGCATTTCACAATATAAAATCCCACAGCACGAGGTAGATATTTGATATTTATTACATAAGTAAGAAGGCTTGCTTCCAAGACACCCCCCCACACACACCTTGTCTAAGTGGGGAGAGGCAGGTTTAAACACAGGTCACGCTAATACAGTTTGATGAGGATTCTGGAATGGGCAGGAAGAACTAGGCTGAAGCACAAATAAGGAAATAACTGTGTCTGCAGAAATTGAGCACAGCCCCACAGAAGTGGTGTGACATGAGGTTTTAAAGAATGAACAGGTGTTTATCAGCTGAAAAGGAGACTGAAAGAAATATACCCAAGGTCATGTGTAGGCTTGTATGTAAGGGATACAGGCACCGCCAGCCAGGTGATGGCCTGGAGACCTGTGCTTCTGGGAACTGTTCAGTGTGACTGGGATCCAGCGGACGTCGGTTGAAAGCAGCTGAGGAACACCTGAGAACAGCGGTTGCCAGGTGCTAACAGATGAAGAGGGGAGAAATAGATGGTCTGGGGAAGCTGGGTGGTGAGGCTTCCCTGCAGAAGACCACGTCCACTCTGGTACATATCTCCAGAGAAAAGAGAACGTGGAAGAAAGCTACAGCGGTGTCCCAAAGATTAATGCAGAGAAGAGTGTTGCTCAGGGCCTGAGATGGGTAACTTGTCAGTTTGATTGGACTGGGGAATGGCTAGATTAGGAAAGCGGGTCTCTCGGTGGGCTTTAAGAACTTTTCTAAAGACCGTGAGATCTGGAGGTCTCTGACCTCACCCAGAACGGATGGATAGACCGTAGAGAGGTGCTAGAGCTGCATGGTCTCTATGGAAGAGGGAGTTGCTGAAGCAAATCCTTGGGGACAGTGGTATACCTTGCCCTGGTCTGCCTTTGCTAACTGCCCCCACTCTGTTTACTGCCCAGCAGAATGTGTGTGAGCCTGGCTGTCATTTCTCCCCACCACAGATCTTGGTTGTTTAAGAATGTTCCCTCCTCTCCTGGCTAGGCCTCTGGATAAACAACAGCCACCGAAGTCACCACCCCCACGCTGAGTCAGTGGCTTCCCTGTTCACTTCCTTGTGTCCACGTGCACCTAAGAGCGGGGCAGGACAGGGGAGGAGAGGTAGGAAGGGAGATGAAGGATCTCACTAAATATCTTGTGCATTGAAGCATAAGCAAATGCAGGCAATCGGTGTGCGGAGCAAATGTATTTATTAGGGAACCGTGGAAAGGAACTGCCAAGAGCAGGAGAAAACCTCTGCTGCACCCTGCCCAAGGGCTCTCATTTATCTCAGGGTGGAAGGAGGATGGCGACTGACGTCATCTTTAGTAGGATTGGTCCTTTGTGAGCACAACTCGGGTGGAGCCAGTGAGCAGTCTACAGGTCCTACACAGGCTCCCCTGGCCCAGTTGGGTCATTCATCCATTCAGGGGAAAGGTGATGTGTTCTACATGACAGGCTCTTGCCCTCACTGCCTAAGGGACCTAACTCCTCTCACCACAGTGCAATGAGACCTCAAGCCCTTGCTCCCTTAGGTTGCCTGCCACACCTGGTTGCAGCCACAGAGCAGTAATTAACACAGTGACCGAGTAATTGTGGCCACACAACAGAACACACAGGGACAGTGCCGCGTTTGATTTAGTTCCTTCCTGTGTCTTAGCATGAAATCTTTCCATTTCAGTGAAATAATGGTGGCACGAACACGGTAATTTTTCATATGTTTTTATGTATGCCTTCCATTAAAAGTTGGCATCAGTAGACAGTCCCTAATTTTAGCTTAATCACGATCTCCTAGTAAATACTTAGTAAGTCCAAAGTTAGCATTTGCAAACGAAGAAAGGGAGACTGATATAGAGAGTAATGGTGTGTTCATTATCTTTTGTGCAAACTGTATGTGTGCTGGAAAAGAATGTTTCCTAATGCCAGGATTGGTGGCATGTATTTGGACGTTTCGATGATTTTTTTCTAACAGTATCACTTGTAAACTGGAGGTTGGAAGGCTTGTGCTGAACCAAGCAACACAATAGTTTGTGAACTGGTGGAGAATTAGAGCCAGCAGAAGGGTGCCATGTGTCCACTTCACAATTTTGGTTCTTAGGCAAATTCCGACAGTGCATGATTGATTATGATTAATTGTATTTACTTCATAGCTCTTTGTGGATATTTCTATCTAAACCAGAAGGGAGAAGGTGTCGGCAGACACCTGGGATTTATTCAAGCTTATGGCTAAACTATTTCATTAATCGTTTAGATTTCCCCATCCCATTTTTTACCTCTTTAATCGAAAGAGTCTTCAAAAAGAGTAGGATGCTTTTTCCTAAGCCATGAATTTCAAGAGTTCCATGGATTACATAGAATTAAAATATGAATGGACACCACGTTAATTAGGCTCCATCATCTAGACTTTCGGTAATTTGTATATATGTTGATTAAGCACAACAGAGCTTACGGTAGGTCAGATATCTGGAAATCACAAAGAGAGGGCAGGGATCTGTAAGTAGTAAAGGGACTGTGTTTACTGAATACCACTTCCTTCAAGTACATTTACTGAGTATATTCTCTTCCGTGGGAAAGTAGCATGTACTTACCTCCTGAGACAGGATCTCATCATATAGCCCAAGATGGCCCATAACTTGCTATGTAGTCACACTGGCTTCAGATTAGTAACCCTGCTTTCTCAGCCTCCCATGCATTGGGGTTACAGGTGTGCTCCAATGCACCCACCTGGACTATCCACTTCAAACCCTTCCTACCCAACGCTTGACACTAAGCTTCCGTGCTATAACATTTCACACGCAGCAGTTAGGGCTTCTCAACTTGTGGTCTCCAGATTCCAGTTCCGTAGAACACACTGGAAATGCCCCTGCCTGGTTTAGTGCAGCTGGACTGGCCCAGGAATCTGCATTTTCACAAGGACCCCAATCAATGTTCACACACATTGAAATTGAAACATTACTCTCTCTAAAACCTTCCCCTTTGTGCCAGGAGCAGAGTACTTGTAGATACCAAACACCGAATAGCAAAGTGGGCGAGAGACAAGGTTAGTGTAGCAACAGCTGACACTGTTGGCCTTCAAGAAGGTTTTTTTCTGTTGATTCCAGCCAGAGGCAGGGGATTAACGGATGCTTTCTTCTGCCCCTTGTCTTTTCTGAAAGGCAAATTTTCTATTTAGACAAATTTCTTTTTGAAAGTAGTCTCAAAGCCGATGTGTGTGATGTTGGCAGAGCAGAGGGGCACAGGAAGGGGAGCCGTCCATAAGGCGACATATTTGACATAAAGACTTTTAAATTAAATGGGGTATGAAGTTTGGAAAATTTCAGTGTAAACTGAATTTAGAGATCATAGCCTGAGCACATTTCCAGCTAAGGCAGAGTCTTAGACAGGACAGCACTATAATTTATTACGAGGCCATTTGATTGGAAATAAATGAAAGGATTTTAACATACTTTCAGACTGTGTTTTCCTCTGCTTTTGAAGTCCATTGAATTCTTAATGTTGATTTTCTACTTTTTTGTTTTTTAAATCCAGTCCACTAAGGTCTACAAAGCTGTTTCTGCCCGAGGCTAACCCTGTTCTAGGTGAGCTAATCAATCAATTCCCACCCATTAGGAAAGAGCACTCAAATAAAAAGAACCCTTACCTTTTGATGGATTTCTTAGCTGTTTGCTCAACACACATCTTTTCTAATTGGCACAATACCAGAGAGAGAGAGAGAGAGAGAGAGAGAGAGAGAGAGAGAGAGAGAGACCATCTTAGGTTTTAGGAAGGGAAAGGTGTCCGAGAGCCGTGCAGCATTGGGGGGTCGAGCAAGCACAGGCTCCTACGGCTGTGATGGAATTGTTTTTAATTAAATCTTCCCAGCCCAAGTTTAAACACACACATATTTAGGATGTAAAAGAAAAGCTTCCAAAAAGCAAACTGGGGAGAGGACATGATGTTTGGCTGAACTGAGCATCGAGCTTTGGCACCCAACTATTCAAAAACTCTTCTTTCTGCTTTTTCAGACTTAGGCCAACAGAATGGTGCAAGTCACACAGATCATGACCCGTCTGAGTTTGTTCTGCTGTCATGTGACCAATGTAGCCTGACTGCTAACCTAGACAACTGTATAGAGAAGGAGATGCCACATTTCATGAACAGGGTCTTACCACAAAGGAATTGTTCTCTCTGACCTGTGAGGAATGACAGGATGTCTAAGACACAGTTGACAGGCAACCTCCAAGTTGTCAAAGGTTTTTGTTTTGCCTCAAAATGCTGTTCCACATCTCCAGAGCCTAGATGCAATGAGATTTGCTTAGTCTCTTGGTGCATGGCTCCCCCTCACCCCAAACGTATCCCTAACCAACGGTTAAATTAAGTAGAATAAGTCATTTTGCTAAACTATTGGAGAAACTATTTGTTTAATTCAGTTCTGTGGTTTCAAAGGTCAGAAGCAACAAAAACACTAATGCATTTGTCTTTTCTTTTAGGTTTTGCCAAGACAGAATAATCTCCAAGGTAGGAGACAGTATACTATTCTCCGATTTGTTGGTTAACTGCAGAATGATGTAGTTGTCTTTGGATGCGAGTTTCTTTCTGTGGTGAGTGTGATACTCAAATGGTAGTCACAAGTGGGTGTCGGTTCTGCTGTTGATGATGGTGATTAGAATATCCTACACATATAATCTGGCTGGATCAGGCCAGAAGAGAGAGAAAGGGGCAGAGGAAAGAAGTCAGGAAGGGAGGACGAGGGAGGTTTTCTTGCTTGATTAGCTCCTTTATGAGATAGCAGACTGTTTGTCTCTGATAGTCAAAGACAGAAGACAGCTTCTTTGTGAGCCCATGAGGCAGGGCCCCACACCTCCACTGAAGCCTATTTTGGAAGAATTAAAGAAGAAGAAGCCCCTCCACATAGCCTGACTCCTCAGCGGCATGTGGCCTCCTGTCCCACTCTGCGGGACCGCGTTAGCCAAGTTGTTTAACTCCCAGAAGTCTCCATAAGAACATGCTCTTGCGGATGTACTAATTATATTATAGCACACAATAGGAGCCCCTTTTGATTCCGTTAGAGGCCTGGGTGTAGAGGATGTGCACCATCTGGTTTGTGAAGGCAGGAATCGGTTTTTTCAAAAGGGCACACATCCAAGTTCTGTTGAATGCTCGTCAGAAGGAAGAAGTGTAAGCAACTCTGTTCATAATGAGATCGGTGCTGAAGCTAATAAGATGGGGTGTGTTTCCAGGACTCGGCATTTCTCTGAAGCTACGTGTGCTTGTGGTACATTTGGCCCCCTTGTCTTATGTGGAGGCTGGGCTTCCAATTGAAGTAGTTAAAGCTCTCCATGTGTTAATTGGAAAATTGAGGCATCTTTGCCGTAGAGCATCTGGCTTCCTAGGTATTAATTATGGCTCCGTCTACACATAGAGACTAGTATTTTTAACATCTTCTATTATTCACCATGTTACTTTTAGAAATTGTTAAGTTTTCAGATCACAGGGGGGAAAAGAGGAAGTTAAGCTTTACTAGATACTGGTGCTATTTAAAGGTATCTTTTATGCTAGGTATGGTAGCACCTGCTTAGACTCATGTCATTTTTTTTTTAATTTTAACCACTTTTGTATTCTTTGAAATGTCATGCAGTATATTTTCTCATAGCCTTCCCCATCCCCCAACTCCTCTCAAGCCCTTCCTACCCATCCTTCTCTCCCTTTAAAAACAAAATTTTAAAAAGGAAGAATGAAAAAAGTCACATACACACACACAATAGCAACACCAACAACAAAAATTTGAAGTGTCAAACTTGAGCTGGCCAGCTACTTTTGGCCATGGCCGGCCAGCCCTAGAGTGGGATGGATACACCCAGGGTCACTGCACTGGAGAAAACTGATTTTTTATTCCTAGCAGGTATTGTTTGTGAATAGCTTCTCAGGTGGGGGTGGGACTCTGTTCCCCCATCCCCTTCTTCATGCTGGGACTCTGTCTGTCTTGAGCTTGTATAGGCCATGTGCATGCTGTCACAGCCTCTCTGAGTTCACATGTATATCAGCTCTGTTCTGTCTAGAAAATATTGTTTCTTTAAAATCTTTCATCATCTCTGTTTCCACCCCATCTTTTGCATAGATCCCAGAACTTGGAAGCTAGGCCTTAATCTGGGCTGCACAGCAAGGCCTAATCAAAGATACAGATAAATAGTAAAAAGTCTCTTAGAGGCAGTCAGAGTTTCTAGCAATAAATAGCAATAAAACAGGAAGAAAATGGTAGGCTTCCTATTGCTAAACTTCACTGAATACTTTTTTTTAAAAAAAAAAAAGGTTTTTATTGAAATAATAATTGGGGCCTAGAATGCAGCCATTTCCCTAAACAGGGCTGCTAGGTAGTCACATGACCGCCTTCCAAGGACTAACTCCTTGGCTTCCTATAGATATTTTAAAATCTTTGGCAGCAGCCAACAGGACTAGGAAGCTATGAAGTCCCCTCAGTAACTAGAGGCTGCTTCTGTGTGTATCCCACAAGGGCAGCTCACACTGATGAAGGAAGCCCAGACACACGGCACACAGTCTCATCGAATGCGATTACAGCAGTCACTATCAATCCAATTAAACAGGGTAAGCGGCTCTGGGGAACCGGAATCAGCACTGGCCTTCTGACTAACTCTAGGATTTGAGATGAGGATATGAGTGTGGTGTCTAAGAATTTTCATGGTTTGATACTGTTGCTCATGAAAATAGATAATACTGAGAAAGTAGGTGAGTGAGAAGAGATCAATAATTGCAGACTTTTAAGTTTTGCACTTAATGATCAACTTCTCGGGCCTAAACAGTGGGCCTGTGTGCTGTTGAGCACCCTCCCTCTGGTCTCCCCTTCTGCCGGCTCTCCTTGCAGCCTCGGTGATGTTTCTAAACGTGCTTTCCATTCTCTGCATTCTAAGTTCTGCTTCTCTGAGTGTTTCTGAAGAGTGCCTGGGGTTCCTGAAGGCTGCTCCGCTGTGTTTATTTGACCCTCTGTTGTTGTGGCAGATACCTGAGAGAGAGAGACAACTTAAGAAAAAGAAAAGGTCATTTCAGTCTCAGGGTTTTAGATCATCAGAGCATGGCAGCTCACATCAAGGTGCCCAGGAGAGAGAGAGAGAGAGAGAGAGAGAGAGAGAGAGAGAGATTCTCCTTTTCCCACATTATTCATCCTGAGCTCTCAGCCTCTTAGACAGTCCTCCCAAGAAATCCTGTAGTTTTTGCACTGAATTGTGCTTTAAATGACGCCTGGCTCTGTCTCTGTCTCATCGAGTTGACAACTGAAGTTAGTCATCATAGCTAAGTTGCTTTTATCTTTTCTGTTTCTTCTAACTTTTTTAAAGAAAGACTTGTTTTTATTATCTCTCTCTCTCTCTCTCTCTCTCTCTCTCTCTCTCTCTCTGTGTGTGTGTGTGTGTGTATGTGTGTGTGTGTGTGTGTGTGTGTGTGTGCCTGTGGATGCCCAAGGAGGCCAGAAGAGGGTGTTGAATCGACTGGCGATGGAGTGACAGGTGGTCGTGAGTCACCTGACGAGGGTGCTAGAAATCCAACTCCCAGCCCCGCAAGAACAGTGGTACTATTAACCATGGAACCAATTCTCCAGCCCTCTCTTGACTAGACAAGTACTCTACCAATTAACTCCATCCTTAGCCCAGCTTTCCCAAAAACATGATGTGTGTCCTGATACTGTGGTAACATCTAAGACTATAATCCCGACCCTGGAAGTTGGAGGGGGAAGAAGAACCTCAGTGAAAGGTACATTAAAGAGGAAAGAGAGAAACCTCGATGAAAACGAAGATTGAGTTTCTTATCTATCTAATAGGATAAGGATCAGAGCAAGCTATTTTTGCTTTAAAGAGAGAGGGGGCATTGCCCACACCTCTGTAGTTATCAACTTCATGTGCGGGAGGTTTAATTTCAGTTGCTGCTGCAGAATGTAATTCCTAGAAGGAGTCTGGAATCTATCCGGTCAGATAATCCTATGCAAAAATAGAGCCTCGAAAGTCTGCAGCTTCTTCTTAGAGGCAGAACCTGCCTTCTCCTCCATTAAAGAACTAAGCAGAGATAGGGTAATACCTCCAGTTAAAAGAAAGGAAGATGATTGCCAAGGGGACACTGGCACTTGGCACAGGATGAGACTGAATGCACTATTGAATATTTGGAATTCTGTTAATACGCAACGTACACTTTACAATGTGTTTGGTTTATCTCCAGTTCAGAGGGTGTGGCCTTCACTTCTTTTCTAAAAATTTAATTTTAGAAAGAACTAGGTAGATCTGATGGTAGGGCCTTTAACATGCTGTAAGATAATACTGGCTGTAGGAACAGCTTGAATATTTGCCTAGCATTGCCAAGGCCCTGTGTTTGATCTTCAGTGAAGGATAGATATTTTACTACTGTATAATGTTACCCTAACATTGAGTAAGTAAATAAACAGGACAGAAATACATTGTTTCTGAAGGTCAGCAGTAGAGTTGCAGTGCTCGGCAGCCTTAGGGAGCAAATCAAGTGTCCTTGGGAACCTGGTGCCTGATGGAACTGGGCAGAAGACTCTCCACAGTCCCGCACCAAGAAGGCTGTTAACAGCAGCTCAATTCCTCATAGGCTAATCAGTTCCACACAGGCTACTCAAGTGTCTTCAGAACGTGGCATTCACGCTCTTGGCCAGTGTTGGCTTGTTGGCAGCTAATCCTCATCATGGCATTATCTGGAGCCAGCTAAAACTTATCTCGTTATTCTGGAGGAAATTTCATTTATGTAGCAAATGCTCAGGACCCAGTCAGCTTGGAGAAACAATAAACTATAACCACAGGGGGTACCTGGGAGAAGAGGACAGGATGCCCTCTACAGATTGAGAAGATGATGATCCAAGTGAAGGAAAGGAGAATTAAAATTGAGGCTATCCATGTGTCAGGAGACGTCTTTTTCTAGAGGTGGCTGCCCTGAGAAGCCAGAAACTCCCAAGAACTTTCAAGCATCTTTGTCACGTCCTGGAACAAAGTCCAAATGTCTCCCTTCTTACTCCATGATGCCATAGTCCCTTTTATGGCATAGGTGCCATCATTTCTACTAGATTGTATTTGTCACAAAGCCTAAGCCTGGCATGATGCAAGAGGAATAGAAGCCTTGCAAGCTGGCTACACATACACCATGAATTTTCTTCCTGTGTTTTCAGATGTTTCAAGGAAATCGGGCATCCTCCCGAATAAGCTTTATAAACAATAAGAAATGTGAATTTTCGGTTAGATGATAGCACACTATCCAGTTTCATTGCTGTCCTCTTGCATTTACTCTTGAGTGTGTGAGCTGTGGAAAGGAAAGCTCGCTCAGGGTCCTTCACTGGAATTCTCAGACTTAGCTGTGCCCCACTCCAGCTTCTCAAGGCATCCCTGATGATGAGCCACGGGCCTGACCTCTGGCATTCAGCCAAGTTTTGCCAGGACCCAATGTTCAAGACAGAGCGATGATGTCTACTGTGCCTTCTGGCACTGAGACACGATTCTAATAAAGCA